ATACCCTGCAAACCGACCACCAACCTTGTGGCCCTACGCTGCACTGACTCCAACCTGTCTAGATCCTTCATATAATGAGGGACACAGAACTGAGCACAATGCTCAAGTTGCAGGCGCACCAGAGTCATCTGGAGTGGTAGTAATACCTCTCTCGACCTACAAGTCACACTTCTGGATAGCCACACTAGATTCATTTATTTAGTTAAAACATTTCTATGCCGCCCCATCGCAACAAAGCCTCGGGGTGGCTCACAACACATAAATAAATACAGAAGTAATAAAATAAATAAATACTAAAATTATGCAATAAATAACACCCCCCCAGTGCATTCTCGACTACGAAAAAAAAAAAAAAAGATTAAGCAACTCCTTGAATGCAGATTCTCCCGTGCTCTGCCCTTGACTGTGTAGGTAATGCAGAGAGAGAGAGACAGAAAGAGAGAAAATGATCCCACTCCACTCTCAGGAAGCCATGCTAGTTCCCGACCTTGAGAGGATTGCCTTCCTAACCCCGCATGGTGATGCTGTTCAAAATAGCCCTTGCTGCAGATCCTTGAGGACTAGCACCATGCAATGGTTTTGTCTAAAGGAGCAAGGCTGAAGCAGCTTCACTCACTCTAGCTTCCAGGAAAGGTGAGTCACTGACACCTGTAGCAGGAGAGGCTGAACTAGATGGAACGAAGACATTTCACTGGCTGCCTCTCCTGATTTCCTTCAGATCCATTTCCAAGTAGTAGAGGAACTGCCCATCGTGTGGCCCTGGCTATGTTTGGGGTTAGAAGACAACCATCACACAGGAGCAGCACGTTCCAGAGGTTGGCGGGTGGGGCAGTTGCTGCCGGGGGTCCAGAGGATCTGCGCTTGCTGAGGAGAAGAGCAGGAAGGGCACCTGAGGGCAGCCATTTCGTGCAGGAGGCTCCTGCTGCTCCCTGGAATTGCCCCGAAATGCAGCCATGGACATCTCCAGATTTGCCCAGGATCCGACTGGGAATGCGGGGAGACCTGGGTGAAGGTCCTCCTGGGGTTCAGGCATGGGAAGGAGTCGATGTCCAGTGCATCACCTTCACTTGTACCAGACGCCTGAGGTCCTCCACCTGGAGTCTGCATGTTACCCGCATGTCACGGCCTACAATCCAATGGACTCTCGGCTCGGAAGTCACTGCTGAGCCTAGAGGTCTCCAGCTCGGAAATTTGGACAAGATCATGCCAGAGTTTCCTTCTGTCGAGGGTGGGAGGGAGCACATTTTGGTGCTGTCCTGACAGAGCTGCTTGTCTCAAAGGCTTGCTGAGTCACTCTCGGAGCTCCAGCGACCGGCCGGCAGATCCAGCAGATCCGAAAGTGTGACAATCTCAGAGCAAAGCCCCACCTTCCATCCCTGCCTAGGATGCAGTCTGCTTGGGGCAGGCTTGGAGGTGTGCTCTTGCGCCTGAGAGGGACTGTCCTCAGGAGAACACACCGCTGGCTCTCTCGCACTCTGCTGCTGGTCCAGCACCCCTCGGGATCAGGCCCATGAAGAAACCCCTGGTCTCAACATTTCCTCATGAGCAGCAGCTCTGACTCCCCTCCCTGGGATGAGCACCCTGGTGTGATAACATACATGATGATTTGAATCCCAGAGACCTTTGAGGGAAACCTACATTCGAAGAGCTTCTAGTCCCATAAGTGGTGTTCTCTGAAACTTTTCTTGATGGGTATAGAAATATCTGCCAAGAAGTAAGTTCCCACCAATGAGCAGGTCTCCTGGCTGGTAATCCTCTCCTGGATGCGTAAACCACGAGAAAGGAGGACACGGGCCCCTCCGCCTCCGCTGGGTGGCCTGAGGCAGGAGCCAAAGGAGCAGCGAGAGCAGGACCATCACCACTGGAGGAGGGAGGCTGTCCCTGCTCTGGAAGCAAGACGCAGGGGAGGAGCAGTCCTTGCAGCCTCACCAGGAGGAGCGGCTCTCTGGAAGAGACGTGCAGGCGGCCAGACAACAAACGCAGCTGCAGCCCCACACCGGAGAGCCTGGGGTATCTTTGTGTTCAAGGTGCTTTCTCTGGCCTTTCTTTGTTATTGACTTGCTGGGTGTAAGCCCCTGTGGAATTTCGCAAGGACCTTCATAATTGCAGAGGAGAGAAAAAAGCAGAGAGCAGGAGCCCAGGAGGCAGATCCGCAGTTGGAGTCACTCTTACCTTCTGTGGAGACTTTTGGGAATTAACTGCTCCTTTCTGTCCCTTGAACTATGGATATTGAAGCCCTGTCAGCCAGGAAGGAGATGCTGCACAGAGTTCATATCTCCAATTTTCTTGAAGAGATCTCTGATCCTCCCTATTCTATTTTTTCTTCTATTTCTTTGCACTGTTCATTTAAGAAGGCATTCTTATCTCTTCTGGCTATTCCCTGGAATTCTGCATTCAATTGGGTGTATCTTTCTCCTTCTTCCTTGCCTTTCGCTTCCCTTCTTTTCTCAGCTATTTCTGAAACTTTCTCAGACAGTCATTTTGCTTTCTTGCATTTCTTTTTCTTTGGGAAAGTTTTACTTGCTACCTCTTGTACAATGTTGTGAACATCCATCCATAGTTCTTCAGGCACTCTGTCAATCAGATCTCGTTCCTTAAATCTATTTGTAACCTCTACTGTACATTCCCCAGGGATATGATTTAGGTCATACCTGAGTGGCCTAGTGCATTTTCCTACTTTCTTCAAATTAAGCCTAAATTTTGGAACAAGTAGCCCATGATCTGAGCCACAATCAGCTTCTGGTCTAGTTTTTACTGACTGTATAGAGCTTCCCCATCTTTGGCTGCACAGCACACCGTCAATCTGATTTCTCTGTTGACCGTCTGGTGATGTCCATCTGTAGAGTTGTCTTGTGGGTTGTTTGAAAAGAGTGTTTGCTATGACCATCGTATTCTCTTGACAAAATTCTACCAGCCTGTGCCCTGCTTCATTTTGTACTCCACGGCCAATCTTGCCTGTTATTCCAGTTATCTTTTGACTTCCTACTTTAGTATGCCAATCCCCCATGATACGGACATCAATTTTTGGTGTTAATTCTAGAAGGTGTTGTAGGCCTTCGTAGAACCAGTCAACTTCAGCCTTTTGAGCACCAGTGCTTGGGGCATACACTTGGATTATTGCGATGCTGAATGGTTTGCCTTGGATTCGAACTGAGATCATTCTGTCATTTTGGAGATTGTACCCCAGTACTGCTTTTCCTACTCTTTTAATGAATGCGAAGGCTCCTCCATTTCTTCTGAGGGATTCTTGCCCACAGTAATATACCTGATGGTCATCTGAATTAAATTCACCCATTCCTGCCCATTTTAGTTCACTGGATCCTAAGATGTCCATGTTCAGTCTTTTCATTCTTTTTTGACCACATCCAGCTTGCCTTGATTCACGGATCTTACCTTCCAGGTTCCTATGGAATATAAATGTGTACAGCATCGGACTCACCTTTCAACACCAGATCCATCTGCACCTGAGTGTCCTTTTGACTTTGACTGGTTCGCTTCATTCTTTCTAGTGCTACTAGTACTAGCCCTCTGCTCTTCCCCAGTAGCATATTGGACACCTTCCAAACTGAGGGGCTCATCTTCCGGCGTCACACCTTTTTTCATTTTGATACTGTCCATGGAGCAATTTATTCCCAATTTCTTCCAGATCAATACACAAGAAATGCCTCTCTATCAGTGCCTAGTCCAGGTACTGCTGCATTTCCACTGGAACTGAATCCTCTTCAGCAAACACAGGCTTGCAAACCAGTCGACCTGCCATGAATTTCTGACTGTGCAGTGGATTCCACTGAGCATGCACAGAGCACCTTTCTTTTAGAAGAGCATCCTCTGTGTCATGCTTGGCTCAGCATCAAGCCTAAGTAGCAGCTCACTGGGCATTGTAAGTGTCTTACTGCTTCCGTCTGATGGGGCTCCTGGGCCGTCCGCATTCATAGACGCTCAGTATGCACTGTCTACATGCCCCGCAGCTCTTCAGGGAAGGAGGAGGCGCAGCCCTTCTTGCTCCAAAGTGAAGAAGAGGAGACTCGGGGGGATCTTCTGGCAACATGCAGTGGTGTGAAGGGCGTCACAAGGTAGAGGGTCAGGACCTTTTCTCCCCTGCAGTAAAGGAAGCGTGCAGTCCAGAGGGCAAAGCTCAAGTAACAGGGTTTCAGGATGGATGTCAGGAAGACCTTCCTGATGGTTCGGACCCCGGGAGATGGGATGGGCTTCCACGGAGGTGCTTGTGTGAAATCAGGCTCCTTCCAAACAAAAATACACAGATGAGGACAGGCAGCTGGGAGGAATTTGGGTGAGGCCCGTCTGGAAGAGGCAGCAGAGAGAGCTCAGGTGTCTGTCTTCTCCCCTCCATCATGGTCTTTCCCGTGGTCATCCATCTTCACCCTTCCCAAAGAGCCTTGAGCATCATAACACTTCAGTGGGCAGAGGGCACTTGGGGGAGGACAGAGTGCTTGGGGCAGATTTTGGCATTGTGTCCTGAGTGGGTTGCGCAGTCGGTCTTCTCAGTCCAGAGAGAGGATGGCTTCCTTCTCTTGCTGACCTGGGATCTGGGATTGGTCTCAGACCCCAATCCTGAATTGTGGGCCTACCAACTGGTCCTTGCAGTGTCGCAATGGAATGGTTGGAATGCCTGGGTGGGTGAATGTGTGTGTGTTTGTGTGTGGAGATGGTGATGGTCTGGTTTTTGCCAGGTTTTCATCACATGCCAGCCACGCATGTCATGAGATACGGCATGGGGAAACAAAGCAAAATTCAAACTCGAAGGAAGGTGCCAAAGGAGAGGGAGGGAGGGAGGGAAAGAGGAAATAGAGACCCTCACAGTAGCCAAATGTATTCTGCTGGAAGAGTCCAATTCACAGCCCACTTATGTGGGCAGTCAGAGAGGCCAACAGGCAAAAAAACCCCTCCTCGAGCTATTTTTTAGGCATCCGGCCCTTTAAGAGACTAAGCTCCCGGCTTAGCTGATGCATCTCTACATTTAGTTGCAAAGTTAATCCTGTGTGGAAAGAGGCTCCCAAGGTAAGTTGCTTTGTGTCCACTCTTCTGCTGACTGCAAAGTTCTCTGGCTGGTTTTACTCATTTAAAACTCTTTCATAGAATGTCTATTCCTCCCTCATCATCAACCCTATGGCTATGCATGTGACTTAAAACCATGAAACAATCTGCTTATGTTCTGGAACTCTGTGGTTGGGAGTACCTGTTCCCTGCAGTGCTGGTCATGATGGTTCAGCTCTGCAGCGTGGTTTCTCCTGGGAGATCTCACCAAGAAAACTTCTCAGGCTTGCAACAGAGAGGTTTAATGCATATCTAGTTGACCTCCTCACAAGCTGTGAAACCCAGATTCCCAAACACCACTAATTGCAGGAATTGCCATTTGGAGCACATGTGCCCAAGCAAAGCTCCCCCCTCAATTGTCTTCCTCTTCCCCTCAGGTAAAGGCTCCATGTCATTCCCACACTCTGCCTTTTCTCTCCCTGGTTCCTCTTTCCATAAAACCCCACCGTGGCTGGGCAGCTCCGACATGCGTCCCAAGAGAGGACTGAGCAGGGGGCAGCCTGAGCTGGAGACCTTCCTGATGCCATACTGCATTCCTAGGGGAAACATCTCAGGAGCACGTGGGGAGCAGGAGGCCCGAGGTGTTCCTCAGGCCTACACATACCAAGCCCACCCCCGCAACCCCTGGGAGCTCCTCGGGTCTGCCCGGCTGGCCCTGTGCGTGCAACAGGAGGCGCTCCAGAGGACCTGCCACTGCATCCGGGATGTGGACTTTGCTCCTGCAACTGCATGCTGGCCGCCAGGGGTCGGGGCTCCATTTCTGCACATCACGGGGCCAGTTCAGACCAGAATCCAGACTTCTGGCCAGCAATCTATGCACAGCTGCCTTGATGTGGTATGAAGTCTGAACACATGGCATTGGGCAGGCCATTTCCGGGCAGACTGGATGCCCATCTGGGCAATGCCTGTTTTTGGAGGTGTTTTCCGCTGAATTTTCTTCTGGGGGATTCTAAGAACATCCTTTCCATCATTGTCACTGCAATAATCAGCATCAAATCACATTTTTATCCTGACCTTTTCCATGCATGAGGAAAGCAAGCTCTTTGCTGGCCTCTCCTCACCATTATCTTCCTGACAACAACAACAGACCTGCCAGGTGGGATAGGCCGAGAGTGAATGACCAGCTAGAAGTCACAAAGTGAGCATCAGGGATGAGGGGGGATTTGGACCATGATCTCTCAGTCCCCATCCCACGTCTTGCACCCTCGATCCTGTGCAGGGATGCAAAACAAACTCCGCTGCTTTGTCTTGTCAAGCAAGAACAGATCCAATTCCGCTTTTAGACATGGCTATCCTCAACCTTGAGGGCAAAAGGAGACGGGGGTGGCAGAGGATGAGGGGGCTGGATGGAGTCACTGGGGCAGTTGGTGTGAGCTTAGGAGGACTCCCGGAGATGGTGGAGGACAGGAAGGCTGGGAGGAATGTTGTCCATGGGGCGCGATGGGTTGGATGCACATTCGCACTAACAACAACATCCACCACCTGGATTCCTCTCCTGGATAGACAAGCAGGAAACGCACAGTGAAAGCACAGGCACACCAAAGGGAACCGGATGCCAGAAATGGAAAGTGGGCGCAGCCAGAAGGAAAGGGCAGGATTTTTCCAAGGGAAATAGGGGGTGAGGGATGAGGAGAGAGGGGAAGAATCTTCCGCCAAGTCCCTCAGAGGCATCTGGGATGGGGCTGAGGGAACCAGTCCTCCATCAGGGAGTTGCCCTCTTTCTGCCTTTCATGGCCATCCAAGCAGGAGCCTCAGCCTGTCCCACACCTGGAGCTGAAACCGGGCACCAAGCGGAAATCCGATGGCACCATGTTGATGGTGTGGCACTAAGAGATACAGGTAGGATGAGCATGACATCCTGGGAGCAAACTGAGCGCACCAGGAATGAGAAGGGGGAAAGCGAGGCAGGGTCTTTGCAGGGCCAGGTTGACTCACTGCAAGGCAATCCTTGCGGGGGGCGGATAGAAAACGGGGGATGCAGCAGGTCGCATGTTGAAGGCCAGTTGCAGAGCACAGGAGGGAAAGATCCCCTGTTCCTGCTTGCTTCACATGGGCCACATCGGCACATTCTCAGAGCGGGCCTTTCTTCCACATGGGAGTGAGGAAGGTTGTCAGGAAGCCACACAGGTGCCCCAGTCATGAGGTCGTATAATTATGGAAATCATCATGCATTGCTGCTCTTTTTTCCAAACCTCATGGGACGCCCTCCCCCAGGACCACCCTGAACCCTCCGAAGCCCCCCTGAGGTGGCAGAGCAGTGTCTTGCATCCAGGCAAAAAGGGGAGGGCGCCTCCTTCCCTGCCGTGCTGCTCAGGGATTGGGAGATGCTGACGCTGCAGAAGAGTCTGCCGTGCAGGCACTTATTCTTTCTTCCTTTGGCTGGAGCCTTGCCTGGGCGGGCTCCTTGCCCATTTAGAAGGAAATTCCCCCAACTGCACCTCTACTGGGCTGAAAGGGCCAGGATGGAGGCCGTGCCAAGCGCCGGCAGAGTGGCACTCTTCATCCTGCTGCTGCTGCTCCCAGAGGCCTCCTGTGCGAGGCTTGAAGCCAAATGCCCCTGGAGCTGGCACAGGGCTGAGCTGCAGCCACGCAATTATTTCCAGCCGGGAGACTTCATCTTCAGTGCCAGCTTCCCTGCAACAGAGGGCCTTTTTGAAGCACACACTTTCAAGGAACCTGCCTCTAATGTAGAGGCTTAGTAAGTCACTGGCCTGCTGGACCTGATACTGCTAAGCAGAACAGGTATCCATGCAGCACAGCTGGCGGTATTGTTGAGAAATTTGGATAAATCCTGTCAGAAAAACATTGCTTCTGTGTGCTTTTGCAGAGTGGAATCAATCCTGTTCTCTTACTCAAACCAAGCTAAGTCACTGTTTAAAATGGCATTCCTCCCCCGCTCCTTTCTCTCACCTTTAGCTGTTAGCTAAAGTAGTGAGGCCATTTAGTCCACATATAGATTATATTGCTTCAGAATAATTAATTAATCATTGTTGGAATTCAGTTTACAAGGAAGTATCTTTTGCTAGCACTGAAGGCTCTATGTGCCCGGGCTATTCAGAACGGGGCGCATGCAATACTTAGGGACTGAGTCGAGATGAGTTTATCAGTTCATGAATAGTTTCTCAGTAGCTGGAATTTACATGTCTAAGCAGACCTTTACTCATTTAAAGTGTCAATTCACTGCAATTAGAAATTTTGTAATCTCTCTGTCACTGTATGATTGACTGACATTCCTTTATCTGTTCTGTAAGAGATGACCTCAGAATTTTATTATACTGTCTGCATTCTGTCATCAATTGCTCTTTTCCTGTGTACGTGACCAGGAGGGTATAAAATACCCTTAGTTGTATTGAAACCTTACAGCAAGTTTACCTCTGCCTGCCCGGTAATTCATAATTGTGAGTCTACCAAGGGAAAATGGGCCAAAAAATAAAGCCACAGATTGTCTGAACACTTGATCTTTACCACGAATCTGAGTTTTATTTCCTCCACATGAATTGGAATTACATGATTTTCTGAAAATTTGGTGACGAAGGCCGGATTGTGGGTTTTTGGCCCTTTATCCTGGGCGAGAGTGATGGTAAGTTCGACTGAAATTCTCTCCATTGTGGGAGCACATATACTGGCCATCTCTTCCATTTTACAGGCTGTTCAATGTAATTAGATCTTTTCTTGATCCTCATTGCAGATTTGCTTTCGTTGAGGAAACCCAGGCAGCATGGGCACTTCAGAAACTCAGCTTGCTACCCAATGGACACCTCTGTATCTAAATGTGGGGTGGTGCGGATGGCCATGCGTGGCACCTGCGGGGTTGTCGCGGAAGGAAGCACTTGGTATTTTTATGTTAAACAGCATGGTCAAACCTAACTCAGACATTCCAATCTTCATTGTTCCCAGATGGCTCATTTAATTGGAATTGGCTACACCTGTTGCAAAACCATCTGGAAGAAATACATCCTAAGGAGATCGAATACGGGTTGGTTTTGTCCATGCTGGTGGAGGAGAAAAGCTGTAATATGGTATTGGTGCACAGGAAAGATCTACACGTGTGAGTAGATGTTTGCCGTGGGATTTGTGTAGAGTTTTATGTTGACTGTTTGTGAAAGTCTTGTGTTGATTGTTGCTGTCAGTTTTTTCTGTCTTTTCTTTTTGTATTTTAAAGTGTTCCACTTTCTTGCAGGGAGACATAGGCCAGCTGGGTTTTGGGGTTTTCTCAGGAAATAGAAGCTCCACGTGCAACCACACCAATCTTTCCTCATCAGGACACGGTTGAAAGCGAGGCGTGGATGGTGCTCTTGCCCCTGAGATGAGGATGTGTGAATCTGACTTTGATCGAGAAACAGATTCATGAGGTCATTTGCCTGAGCCCAAGCATGGCTGAGTCCGACTGGGAAAAAGGTGATGATCAGGGCAATGTGTGTGACAGATTTTTATATTCTCCCATTCCTTCTATATGTGCAAGAACTGGGAAGTAAGAAAATGTGTGGCCCTGGAATTGGGCTTGTAAACACAGGTCCTGCCTAGTTTTCTGGCCGTCCTCAATAAGGTTATCCTGTGTGAAAGCCTTTTGTGCAAGAGGGGTTATATAGAAACATTTTTATGAATGTCCTTTCCTTGTCAGAAACTGGGAACACTGCTTTAATGTCTTGCAAGTTTTTCAGCCTCTTCCATCTGACTTACATCCCTCCTAGATAGGAAGATTTCATTCTTGTTAGATTAAATAATTGTATTTCAAATTCCAGGAAGGGATGCTGATGGGCAGAAAAAAGATGGGAAAAAAGGAATATAATGTTGATAATTCTCAGAGTAGTAATCCTGAAAAGATACCCAGAGAGATAAAGAAAAGGGTTTTTCTTTTATATTTTGCGGACATTTGCTGGTAAAGTTTTGGAAATTTGAAAGGTTGTCTTTAGCAATTAGCCTGAGCAGCAGCAGGCTGGAGTTCAACCGGACAGAGTGTAAAATCAGGGGAAGACAGATTGCAGTTAACCATTAATAAGTATTTCTGCCTAAATTGGCTGGTTTTTCTCCCCCTCTTGCACTTTCAATTATTTTGAAAGTGTGGTTTTAAAAAGGCAAAAATATTTCCCCCCCTTGATATTGTTTGTATGCCATGTGAGAATGAGAGTCCATTTGTCAGAATCCCCGAATCTCAATTTGAGAAGAGGGAATAAAACTTGGGTTTGTTGGAAATATCAAGCGTCGAGACCATCTTGGCTTTATTGCACTACCCTGGTTCCCGCGGTTCACTCACGAAAATGCATAACTGGACAAGCAGAGATGAACTCTGCTGCAAAGCTTTAAAAACCGTTATAGGGCACTTATACTCCCTTGGTCACATCACAGGTACTGGGCAATAGATGACAGAATGCAGAGATTACAATAAGGTTCTGAGGTCGTCACATACAGAACAGATACTGGAATGTCAGTCAATCACACTGTAACAATTAGATTACAATATTTCTAATTGCCTTGATTGACACTTTAGTTCAGTAGCTTGAACCCATCTCCAGGTCTGCTTCGACATGCAAATTCAAGCTCCTGAGACTATGCATGAACTCAAGACTCTTTTCTATGCTTACATTCGGAATTGGCCAGGGCACATGGAGCCTCTGGGCTACCCAAAGATACTTCCTTGTAAACTGAATTCCAACCATGAATATTGCCAATGTATATTTGGACTGAATGGCCTGTCTACTGTAGCCCACAGCTAAAGGTGAGAGAAAAGGAGCGGGGGAATGCCATTTTAAACAGCAACAGCTTGGTTTTGAGAAGGAAGACAGGATTTGATCCCACAATGCTAAAAAGCACACAGAAGTAACACTTTTCAGACAAGATGTACCCAAATTTCCCCAACAATCCCCCTTTCTCAGATGATTCACTATGTGACCCAAACAAGTGAGTCAGTTTGGATAAATCCCGTTCCAAGTATTTTTCCCATAGAGCAGCTTCCATCTCAAAACCAAACTAAGGTGACGAGAATGTTATTTCATACAATGGAGACTTGTGTATTTGCTAAGAGTTCAAAGGGTAGGAAAAATGGGAAACAATTGGAAAAGCAGCAAAGAAAATGGAAAAAATAACTTCAAAACACATCATATTCAACCCAAATGCTAGTAGTTCTCCCAGGAAACTCCATGCTGATTTTGGCGCTGCAAAGATCTCAGTACCAGCCAGCTCTCATCCTCACCTGCTTCCGCACCTCTCCCCTGTTCTGCCACCCTATGGTGAGGCCTGGTTCCTTTGCTCCCCTGCCTCCTCTGACCCATTGCAGCCTTAAGCATTTCATCCTTGTCTGGGCTGAGGCCCTCACGGTGAGGAAAATCCTGTCTGCGGCCACCATCCCTTCTGGGCAGCCAACTTGGTTCATCCTGCTTTGCAAGGTGGGAGCAGTGTGGGGTGAGGCAATGGCCTGATCTCCAGTTCAGTCACTTGTCTTGCCCTTTTAAGCAATTCTATGAGATTTCGTTGTCTAGGCTTCACTCAAGTTTCTTAGCTGTGCCGAACCTGCATCACATCGTTTGCCTGGTTAGATCTTTGTTTCCTCGTGAATGATGCAATGGAGCAAGGCAGAACACAGGAATGGATTCCCATCAGTCACTGCACTTCCTGGAACATGGGCGTAGCATAGGACATAGAGGGCTTTTCCTTCCAGGGCTGTAGAGAAAAGGAGTCTTTTTTCTTGTATGGGGTGTGTTGAAAAATTTGGATGACTCCTGTCTGAAAAGCATTACTCCTGTGTGCCTTTGCCTTGTGGGATCAAATCCTGTCTTCCTTCTCAAAACCGAGCTGTCACTGTTTAAAATGGCATTCCCCCACTCCTTTCTCTCACCTTTAGCTGTGGGCTACAGCAGGCAGGCCAATCAGTCCACATATACATTGTAAATATTCATTGTTGGAATTCAGTTTACAATAATCTTTTGATAGCCCAGAGAGCTTCATGTGCCCTGATCATGCAGAATGTTTAGAGTCGAGATGGGGTTCTGAGCTTATCATGAGCAGTTTCTAGTAACTTGCATTTGAATGTCTGAGCAGACCTGGAGATGGGATGAAGTTACTCAATTAAAGTGTCAAATCAGGCAATTAGAAATATTTCAATCTCATTCCTACAGTGTAATTGACTGACATTTTTTTATCTGTTCTGTATGTGATGACCTCGGAATCTTATTGTAATCTCTGCATTCTGTCACCAATTGCCCTGTACTTGCATGAGACTGGGAGTGTACCTATAAATGCCCTGTAATCGTATTGAAGCTTTGCAGCAGAATTGATCACTGCCTGCCTGGTAGTGCATACATTATCGTGAGTACCGCGGGAACCTTGGGGTAAATTCAATAAAGCCTCAGAAGGTCTGGATGCTTGGTCTTTCCCACGAACCTGAGTTTTATTCCCTCTTCTCAAATTGAGATTCCAGGATTCTGACAGGAACCAGAGTGGCTGTTTCGTTCCTGGAAAGGGGCAGCTCAAAAGAAAGGTTTAGTATGAAAAAGAAAAAAAGGCTTTTACAGTTCTTCACAGAAGCTGGTTGGAGGCAGTGGCAGAGAGATTCACATGAGTTTAGAAAGAAACCTCAAGATGTAAAGTCTGTCCTTTTTGAGTCTCTTTAGCACAATCTCCAGAAGAAAATGTTTGGGTTGCTGAAATCAATCCAACCAATCCAAAATGCACACAAAGATATCCTTTGTTGAACTGGTGTTGCATGAACCTGTTGCTTGCCTAGGCTAAAGAGATATGTGCTTCCTGCTGGACAATGAGAACAGTTTTACACAATTTCTTACTGGAGATGATACCCTCCCACATAGATGCAAAATGCACCAACCCATTGTTAACACAAACAGGCTTGAACTATCACACAATTCATCTAACAAATAATGCTTGCTCATTTAGATGAACATATGAGTGCTTATGTTCATGGAAAGAAGTTTTGAGAACTTGCCATTTTAGCTACCCGCCTCCTTGGGCTGGCAAATGGGCCCAGTCCCCAACAAACATTAGGCTACTGTAAGGAGAAAAAAAAAATTTTTAGTACCATCAATAACAGTAACAGCAGTAACAACAATATCACTATCATTAACATTTAGCAACATTGCAAAAGGAAAAAAGGAAACAAAACTTTTTGTTGAACTCAAGGGGAAAGGAGCCTCATTGATTGGAAAAGAAACTCTTCCCACTGCCTGTGCAAACACACATACACAGCCCCAGAGTTTCATCCACTCCCTCCCAATCATTCAGGTATAACATAGCAATGACAAGGTGGTATACTCAGAATTCAGAAATTATACACAAACACATATATAAGACCCATATCAATGTTGCATAGAGAAAAGGAAGTTATTGGAGAGGGAAAAACTCTGGATGGCTGACACGAATCATTAAGACACATGCTCCCGACATTGCTTTTTGGAAGGATTCCCTTTCTGAAAAAAAATCCCCTAGCTACAAATTGAGAGTGCTTAAGGGTATTTGTTTTTAATACAAACCTTCCCAGGCAGAATTTTTCCTGAGGCAAATAAAGGTTTGAACACTCAAAGGACCTCAAATGCCTTGCCTCAGTTACACAACATTTTTTTTTTCACTAAGACACCAAGATTTCTTTGAGAGTTTTCCAGATACTGAACGACTTTCTTTTTAGAACCTGTGACTGGAAGCAGAGCCGCCTAAAATTCCCAATGTACTTTGAAAGCTGTACATGCTCAGAGGCTTTGTGTGTGCTGCTTCTGAAGTACTCACAAAGTGGTGGTACCTTCCTGCCAGAACATCCCCCCTTTTCCTGGGTCTGTGGAATAGACAAGCCCACAGAGTCAAGAAATCCACATTTTCCAGCACAATTCCCCCCTGAATTCAGTTGGCCAAACCAAACCCAGAGAAGTGGCTGCAGTTACCGCCTCTTTCAAAAATGGGAGTGCTCTTAGCAAGGTAGACTATTCCTCCTTTTTTCATTTGCTTTTCTTGTCTTTTCTCCAAAAGTTACACATTTCTTCCCATATTTTTTTCAAGTGACAAAGATCCTAATCACCATTTACGAAAACTCTTAAAATTCTCTCACACACCAAACACCTTGCACCCCTTGAATCCAGTAAATCCTGTAATTCTCATTCTCACATGGCATACACACAGCATCCAGAATAAAAAAAAATTTGCCTTTCACTCAAACCTCACTTTCCAAACAGCCGCGAGCTCAAAAGGGGGAAAAGCAGCCAATATGGAAGAAATATTTATTAAAGGCTAACTGCAATCTGTCTTCCCCTGATTTTAGACTCTGCCCTGTTGAATTCCAGCCTGCTACTTCGCTGGCTAATTTCTAAACACAACAATTTTAAATATTCATGACTTTACCAGCACTATGTTCCCAATAGAAAACCCTTTTCTTCATCTCTCTGGGAATCCTTTTCAGGATTCCTACTGACTATTCCCAACAGTATATTTTATTTATTTATTTATTTATTTATTAAAACATTTCTATGCCGCCCCTTGCCGAAGACTCGGGGCGGCTTACATCACAATAAAATACAACAAAATACAAAAATAACAATATAAAATAAATAACAATATAAAAGAAGTCGCCCTGACCAGGTAAATAAGCAAATATTGTTAACAATTAAAATGATGTTTAAATAAAAAGGTCTTCACCTGGTGCAGAAAAACAACAACGATGCCAGGGGGACCTCTCTGGGGAGCGCATTCCATAGAATGGGCACCACCACAGAGAAAGCCCTCCTCCGAGTTCCTACCCTCCTAATTTCTTTCATGGAGGGTTCCCGGAGAATGGCCTCTCCTGCAGATCTCAAGGGGCAGCCAGGCATATATGGAGGTAAGCACTCCTTCAGGTAACCAGGACCCAAGCCGTTTAGGGCTTTATAGGTCATCACCAACACCTTGAATTGGGCCCGGACTTCAATGGGAAGCCAGTGAAGCTGACGGAGGACTGGAGTCATGTGAACATAACGCCCCGTCCCCGTCAGCAACCTGGCAGCTCTATTTTCAACAAACTGAAGTATCTGGACCGTCTTCAAGGGAAGCCCCACATAAAGCACGTTACAGAAGTCAAGGCGTGAAGTCACCAGCCTGTGTGTCACCGTCGTCAGGCAGTCATACTCCAGGTAGGGGTGCAGCTGATTAATCAGCCGAAGCTGAAGGAAAGCACTCCTCGCCACCGCTGTCACCTGAGCTTCCAATGAAAGCTCCGGGTCGAGGAGCACTCCTAAGCTGCAGACATTGTCCCTAAGAGGGAGTGCAACCCCATTCAGGACCAGGTCAAATCCACCCTCTCCGAAGCCCGATCCGCCAACCAACAGGACCTCCGTCTTGTCTGGATTGAGCTTCAGTTTATTGGCCCTCATCAAGCCCATTACCTCGGCCAGACACCGTTTCAGCACAGCCACTGACTCACCTGGATTAGTGGAAAATGAGAGGTAGAGCTGGGTATCATCAGCATACTGATGATTCCGCAGCCCACACCTCCTGATGACCTCTCCCAGCGGTTTCATGTAAATGTTAAACAGCAAAGGGGACAAAATGGACCCCTGTGGTACTCCATGGCATAGCTGCCATGGCGCAGAGCCAAAGTCCCCCAGCTCCACCTTCTGGAATCAGCCGTTGAGATAGGAGCGGAACCACTGCAAAGCAGTGCCTCCAACCCCCAATCCTGCAAGCCTATCCAGAAGGATACCATGGTCAATGGTATTAAAAGCCGCTGAGAGGTCCAGAAGAACCAACAGGGATGCACTCCCCCTGTCCTTCTCCCTGCACAGGTCAACATACAGGGTGACGAAGGCAGATTCAGTACCGTACCCGGGTCTGAAGCCGGACTGAATAGGGTCCAGATAATCAGTTTCATCCAAGAGTGCTTGGAGTTGTCCCGCCACCACCCGCTCCAACACCTTGCCCAGAAACGGGATGTTGGCCACAGGTCTATAGTTAGTGGCCATCTCTGGATCCAGTGACGCCTTCTTCAGGACCGGTCGTATTACTGCCTCCTTTAAAGGGGCAGGCACCCGACCCTCCCTCAGAGAAGCGTTAACCACTTCCAAGATCCAGGTCCCAATCCCGTGCTTGGAGTTATTTATTAACCAAGACGGGCAAGGATCCAATAGGCAAGTGGTGGGACGTACTCGTCCAAGAACCTTGTCCACATCATCGGGCTGCAATAACTGAAATTTCTCCAATAATTCTGGACCAGACAGTAGCATTGGCGTCTCCCCAGAAACCTCTGATTCATTAGAGGAGTCCAGCTCGTGACGAATCTGAGCGATTTTCTCCCTGAAATGCCTGGCAAAGTCGTCACTGTGGGCCTTTGAGGGTGGAACTGGATCTTCCTTAGGACCCGGGCGAACCAGGCCTTGCACCACTCGAAAAAGCTCCGCTGGGTGGCATTGTGAGGAGGCAATGGAAGCGGAATAAAACTTCTTTTTCGCCGCTTCCACCGCCACAGCATAGGCCCGATATTGAGCACTCAAGTGTATTTGGTCAGATTCAATCCGTGATTTCCTCCACCTATGCTCTAGCCGTCTCCCAACTCGCTTCATCGCCCGCACTTCAGCTGTATACCAAGGGGAAGAGCGGGCTCTTCCCGGTGGGAAAGGACGCTTAGGAGCGATCGTGTCCACAGCCCTGGTCATCTCTCCGTTCCACAGTTCGACCAGAGCCTCGACAGGAGCACCAGTCTTGTCAGCCGGAAACTCCCCCAGGGCTTTCAGGAATCCATCCGATCCATCCGGCTCCAGGGGCGGACCCACACAATCGGATCCGCACCCTTACAGAGGGAGAGGCTGCTCTCGAGCACAAACCTCACCAGGCAGTGATCTGACCATGACAGTGGAGTCAAACATAAATTCCTCACCCTCAGGTCACCCTCTTCCTGCCCCGTCGAGAAAACCGGGTCCAGAGTGTGTCCATGTTCATGGGTCGGGCCAATGATGTGTTGAGACAGCCCATGGCCGTCATAGAGGCCATGAAGTCCTGAGCCGCCCCGGTCAGACCAGACTCGGCATGGAGATTGAAGTCCCCCAGGACCAACATCCTGGGGGTCCTCAACACCAGGTCCAAGACGGTCTCCGTCAGCTCAGGCAGGGAGACTATTGGGCAGAAGTGTGCACGGAACACCAACAGAATCCCCAATCTGTCTTGGTTGCCCAACACCAAGTAGAGGCACTCCAGCCCTGGTCTCAAAGGGACCGGAAGTACTGTGAGAGAGGTGGAGGCTCGGCGAACCAAAGTGACTCCCCCTCCCCTCCCCTCTGGGTCTGAACAGTGCTGAACCAGATACCCGGGCAGGCACATTTGAGAGAGGGCAACATCCCCCCCCCCACTCAGGTCTCCATTATGCAAGCCAAGTCGGCCCCCTCACCCACAATCCAGTCATGGATGAGGGAAGATTTATTATTGACCGACCTGGCATTGAGCAGCAGCACCGTCAGGCCCGAGGGGAGTTGACAAGGCTACCTGGAACCCTCTGGCTGGGGGCAAAACCAGAAGGAGGGATAGGTGTCAGCCATCTGTCCCTCCTTCTTCTATACGGACACGTTAAGCCCCCACCGCTGTTACGTCCATTTCCCAAGACCATGCCAATGGTGGCACCCGTGCCCTCCCCAGGAAACATAAACGTCGACATGGCCAGGGACGACTCCATCAAACAGATTAAAACAGAATAAAATTATAAAAGCAGTTAACCCCCCCCCTTCCCTAACATTCAGCAGTAGGCAGGCCAATCAGCAAAAGCCCCTGGCCAGCCCAGCCTCCCGCTCGGCCCCCCACCGGCTCCCAAATAGCGGTGACCACCCTTTGGCCATCACCCTTCGGCCGCCGCCAGCGCTTTAAGGCTGCAGGGCGCTCCCGAAGCCCCGCCCTGTCCCACAAGCCTCTCACCTGTGTGGGGGGGCGGGGCAAGCCGGAACCGGTCCTGCGTCCTGGCCGGTGGTACTGGCCTCCGTTGGCAGCCTGGCACGGCAGCGTGCAGCTGTTGGCGCCTGAAGGGCCTTCCATCCTGCAGCGCGGGGGAGCAGCGTGCAGCCAGTGGTGCACGAAGGTCCTTCCTTCCTGCAGCGCGGGGGAGCGCATGCAGCCGGTGGCACGTGAAGGTCCTTCCTGCAGCGCAGGGGAGGTGTGCCCCGTCCGGCACACTGGTTCTCCCTGCCCGCTGGCCCTTTGAGGCTGCAGGGTGCTCCCGAAGCCCCACCCTGTCCCACAAGCCTCTCACCCATGTGGAGGGGCGGGGCAAGCCGGAACCAGCCATTTTGCTTTCTTGCATTCCTTGGGATTTCCTGACACTCACACGCTTTCCTCCTTCCGTGCTGAATGAGGCAAGAGACTCCTCAGTGGCCTTGATTGTGGAAAGGAGGCCCTACAGGCTGGCTTGGGACTAGAAAAGGAGGACATCAGTGTTTGCCAGTGCTGGAGCTGCCTTAATTAACCTGCATGTTTTAGATACTGGAAAAGAGGAAGCTTGCCCTGTTTTCTCTCCCTTGCCCCCTCCTCCCCCCAAATCTGCAGGAAAGTTTTCCATTCTGGTTCCTTCCCCAGGAAAATGGGGCAAGTCCCAGAGCGCAAGAGGTGTGAATGGTTCAACTGCTATCTAATCACTCTCAGGCAAATAGCTGGAATAGTCAAATCCTGGGCAAACTCCTCATTGTTTTTGGGAATTTATGAACTCAGACGCAAAAAACAAAAACTGAAACCTGTTAAACACAATCACTTCAAAGTGTTTCTTAGTCATTCAACCCCTCATTGCATCCTGTTTTCTTGATGCTTCTGAGAACATTATGATACTTCTGCATTATAATTTTGTGCTTCTGCACAGTTCTTGCAAATGGTCA